CTCACAGGGATACTTCACGCATTGCGCAATGCGTGAAGTATCCCTGTTAGGTTTGAAGGCGCCAATGCGTGTTTCGCGCTGGCTGCCCGCCCGCCACGCCGCGCCCCCTCTGGTCCACAGACCCTATTTAACGGAACTTTAAGCAAATTTTGAAGGTGGAAAAAATTAAAGTTTGGCACTACAGTTTTATCATACATACTGTCATGGATCGTCACCTAAGTTTTCATAGACTAATAATGATTTATAAGATTGTGACGGACCCTAACAACAGAGCGCGCGACAGGTCTTCATTGGCTGAATGTGGACCGCATTCGGTGGTGCGTTACAAGGTGTTTATTTTATCGAGTTACGCCTCATCTATGTAAATTTTTGGGCAACATGGATCCACCTGATGGCAAGTGACTTTTCACCCAGTTTCATTAATTTTGAACCGAAATTTGTATGCTTTTGAATGCTGCAAACATACGACGAAAAATGATAGAAATCCGTGAAATTCGTAATATTTAGGAAGCTCTAAGTTTTTTTTAATTCTAGTTAATGCTTTGCGGATTGGAAAATCGTGTTCAACATATCCTTAAGTTTGAAAAGATGCCAATTTAAATGTCGCCTTTTGTCGCCTAACGGTCGAAATGAATTTTTTTCGGAGTGCACCTCCGTACATCAAAATGTGGAATATTCCATGCATTTTTGGCGTTTTTGTTGACTGTTAAATTTGTTCTAGGTACAAAATAAAAGTATGCCGATGTATTTTGATCTACTGAGTCCAAAAATGACCTTTGTTTTTTTCTTATCACCTCTCACTTTTCCGAAAAAGCGACTTTTTCCCGGGAAAATGAGCAAATTTGACGTATTTCTGTCATAATTGCACTTGATAAATTATACTGGACCCGTGGTAAAGAGATTCTGTTATGTATATTAAGCTTCTGAATCCGAATATGACCTAGGTATTGGTTTATTACCTCTAGTTCTCCGATTATGTCGATTTTTCCGCGCCTTTTGGGTAAAACCTTACCCAGACTGTAAGTGTGTTAAAAATACGGTTTAAAATTGATTTCGATGTTTGATATATCGACTCTCATGTATTTTGATTTGCTAAACCCGAATACATTATGACCTTAGATTTTTCCTATCACCCCTCATTGTCCCGGAAAATTCAATTTTCCTCGGAGAACGAGCTCTTTTGGTATTTTTGAGACAATTTTCCGTATTCTAAGGAAAACGGGTGGTTGTAAGAGGCAAACGGAGGTTGAATTCCGGTTGAATGTTTCTTAAGACATCAAAGAAGACCTAAAGAGGAACTCGGAAAATCGCTACAACTCCATAGAACAGGTAAATTGGCGCAAAAATACCGAAAAAACTCGTTCTCCGAGGAAAATTGAATTTTCCGGGATAATGAGGGGTGATAGGAAAAATCTAAGGTCATATTCGGATTTAGCAGCTTAATATACATAAGAATCACTCTACCACGGGTCCAGTATAATTTATCAACATAATTTGCAATTATGACAAAAATACGTCAAATTTGCTCATTTTCCCGGGAAAAAGTCGCTTTTTCAGAAAAGTGAGAGGTGATAAGAACAAAAAAAGTCATTTTCGGACTCAGTAGATCAACATACATCGAAATAGTATTATTTTGTACCTAGAAAAAATTTTACCTACATGTTGCAGAGGTCAACAGTCGCAAAAACACCAAAAATGTCCATTTTTCCGGGTAAAATTGGCTTTTTCGGAAAATTGAAGGGTGATGGACAAAAACGGAGGTCATATTCAGATTTATCGCCTAAAAATACATGAGAATCACCTTATCTCGACCGAGAGACATTTTTGTTATTATTCTTATACATGTCAAAATAGGGTGGAAAAAATCTTCAGTCTTTAAAGTGGCAGAAATCACATTTGAAGTTAAATTTCTCGGTCAGGATGTTAATATTTTGTTAAACTAAGATGTAAAATGAAATCAGCGACCCAAAAAACACAAGATCCAACACCTTTTATAACGATGCAGTGCATTTTCGAATAAAGTTCCGTTAAATCCAGTCTGTGGACCCTAGTAGCCGCCCCGCGCCGCAGCGTACCACGGCGCTTGAAGCAACTATTTCACACCAGAGGTATTGCACAGTATCATACGAAATTGAAGGCGCTCCGACATGTTAGGAATGGCAGGAATCCTTCAAAAGTACGGAGCTTTCCCCGCAAAATAAATCAAGATACTACGGCCCAAAAAGAGAGCGGTAGTCCAAAAACTCACTAAGTCCTAGCATCCGTAATTCGTAACGTTTAGCATACACTTTATCGCCAGGCTGTTGCTTAGTCGCCATCGGCTATAAAAGGCTATAAGAAATTGTGTAGCCGGCTATAGAAGCTATTGGAAATCTGACAGCCGGCTGTAGGTCTATGGTATTTTGGAACACAGATTCTACTGCCAATTTTCACCAGGGTAGCTTCCCCTTTTGACCGATTGACCTGAAATTGGTGTCAAACAGACATGACGCAACTGTACTTTTTGCTCTAGCTGAAGCTTGCAATAACAAGTGCGTTACTAATCGGGCATGGTTTTGATTGGATGAATGGTAATTCATGTGGTAGTCGTCGATCGGCACCAGGTGTTTTGGTTACAGGCACGAATTCGCGGTCGAATTGGTGCACGTGTTTCCCGCCAAGGACTACGAGCCCTGAACCAGGGGTCGAGAGGGAATTGAAATTAATTTGATCGCCCTCCGAGTTCGCGAACGACCAAGCGTTGCTTTTCGATCGCGATACTCGATCAAGAGGCCAGAGCAGGTAAAAGAATTTGGGATACCGAATCCCGAACTCAGAGGCGAATGGGGCGATTATTGTTNTTTTTTTTTTTTTTTTTTTTTTTTTTTTTTTTTTTTTTTTTTTTTTTTTTTTTTTTTTTTTTAATCCTAACTAGGGTTTGGAGGACAAGGCACATGAGGGCATTTTTTGGGTAAAAAAACGAGATGTAGGTAAATTATTTCAAAATAAAACTGATTTTACGATGTATATGGCCGGATTCACTCTTTTGCCGCCCACAAGCCGCCTGTATTTTGTCGCCTCTTCTTCTCGTCCGTTTTAAAACGTCAGTAAGAATCATCAAATGGACCTGCCGAAGGGGAAAGGGCTCATAAAACGCGTTTATATACTCGTCTTGGGCGCACTTTTTTGAAATCCCTGTCCGCATCTAGCATAAGTTCTTGGAACTTTGTACGAAAGTTGAAGCTGCTATCTCTTACACCACTAAGGACGACAGAATTAGAAATTAGTTACTATAGTTTTATACCGTCGAGAAATAAGGGATTGGGCTGCATTTTCTCATGTGTACGTCTTTCCTGAATCCGAAATTTCTTTTTTTATATTCATGTTTGAAAAATTGCAGCATTTGCCACTACCCTAAATTTTGACGCCATTTTTCAGGGACCTCACCACCTCCAACGTCAAACAGAGCACTTTCCCCGACGAAAACGATGGAGTACATGGGTTTGTCCCCTGTTCCTCCCCAAATAAACCCGCACCTGCCCTCCGGCAGCCGACAAAATACTGACAGTGAGTTTTTAATCTTATTCCGATGGACCTCGATATTTTACACTGAAACTTTTTTTATTGAGATATTATTTTGACTTTTTGCGTTGTTTCTTTGTGGGGTTTTTTATAAACTAAAAAAATCGTCGTTTTACTATCGTGCTGCAATTAGGATGAAATGCAGAAATGGGGTCATACATCACAATTTCCTCTTAATTACCCTTCTCTATTTCTCTTTCCCCCTCTCTTCCTCTACTTCACCCTATTTTCCGTCAGCTTTCTTCTTCTTTCCCCCTATACAATGAACAAGAGTGGCTTTAGGTCACCTGTCAGATTAGAGGCAGAGAATGGGTCAGTTTGTTGTGCTCGTCAAAGAATCGTGTTTTTATGATTGATTCTTGTAGATCAGCTGTAAACATTAGAATCCGTCCAAACAGCAACTCTCTAAGTTTTTAATATCAACCGAGTAATTGCGCTTTGAAACATTCGGTTAATGACGTCATCCATCGCGGTAGTGACACCCCTGGTTTCTACCCAGCTAGAGGAAAACCTCATTCCAATAAAATTACCCGAATTACTTAAAATGTTACTCGAATCTGTTTTTCCTTCTACGACGGGTGCATGCACCGAAAGCTAAGACTTGGCGTCAATTCTCTCCTCATTCCCTCATTTTTTTCTCCTTTCTATTTTTTCTCCTCTTGCGATTTACACTACATTCTCGTCGATTATAAAGTAAGATTCTTCACGATTGGACTATTTCTGCAGCCAAACGGAAACGGAGACTGATGGGAAAAAAGGGGTATGCTCCTTAGTCGAGGGCCTTGGCGAATGAATGGGAATTATAATAAAGCGCCAGTGACGTCAGCGGCAACGAAGCCGTCTCCGTTGTCGCTCTTGGTCGGCATTAACTCATGAGCCCTGTCCACAACGCTCTTTTGCGATGCCCATGGCTCATGTGATAGACTGTAAAATCCCGCTTTCCCATTTCTCCAACGGGCATCCCGCCCGCTTTAGCACTGTTTCTTATGCAGCTCTTCAGAGCACATCCGATCTTTCCCACTCGTATATTTTTCCGTTCGGCAGAAATGCGTCCGATTAATTGTTTTAGACTCGGGTTGCGTGCGAAATTCGTATAGGCAACTACGTCACCCTTCATAAATGTATCTGTACCTATCTACAACAAAAAACTCATTCTCTCCCTCGCACGTCAGAGCGTGTAGAGAATTCAAGTTGCGCTTTTCGTAATGACGCGGTTCAAAGGCCGTGAAGAGAGGGAAATACCTACCACCGAAGCGACAAATTCAATGGGCGGTTTCTGATTCTATGGACGGTTTTGGATTCTATGGATGAGCGCTGAGTCACGCAGACCAACTTCTGAGTTCATAGAACCAAACTTCGGTTCGTTTGATTGACGCGACTATTCAGCTCCGCGAGTCTAGAATTCAGTGCCACGAATCAAACCCTTTTCGTTCTTTTCATAAATGTTCCATATCGACCGTAGTTTGTTGGTTCAGTGAACCTACCGACTTCGGTTCGTTGATATGAAATTCTCAATCTTTTAAAAAGGCCAAGTTTGACCCGAAGGATCAAATTCTAAAATGGGTAAATGGGTCTTCAGCAAGCAAGATATGCAGCCTAGGAATACATTTTCCATGTGAGTAATACTGCCATGCTAAGAAAGAACGCCGTATGAGCCTTCAGGCGTTGTCTTGCAAATCACTAATTTTCAGGAAAATGTTTGAATATTTTTCTGCCGATTCCTCAGATGATTTTCCTTGTAATGTGTTCTTAAGTGCCTGAAAATTTCAAGGAAAAACATTCACAGTTTTCCTCAAAAATATAAATGTTATTGGAGGAACTGAGGCAACTCTTGAATGTTTATATACGGCGCTCTTCCTTAGCACTACCGAACATTTCTCGATAATCACGATAAGCACATCAAAAAAGCCTAAAACCGACTCCTTATGGCATAATCTACTTACTTTGTCACGCGCTTTTTAAAATTCCCGAATTTGCGAGCAGTTTTTCTGAGGTCGGTGATCAGGTTTGACAAGATGTGGCCCTAACAAGGTCGACTTTCAGAAGAGGAATCAAAATCCAGAGTAAGGAGAGAGTCATTAGGAAAATTGTTTCGCGTTAAATTATTCTTTGAAACATCGTTTGAATGGAGATGTTGCATGTGTGAGGAATGTGTGATTTGACCATTGATTTTTATGTAAAAGTTTGCGAGAAACACGATGGTGCCACTGGTTTTCTCTGAAATCATCTCCCAAGCTCAAAAAAAGCTCTCAAAGTGAGGCCAAAATGAAGGGGATATCCCACCCTACCCTGAGAGTCCACCTCTACATCAAAACAAACTCTCCATGCAAAGATAAGGAGCAAATACATTAGCAGGGGTTTTTTTTTTTTTTTTTTTTTTTTTTTTTTAAATAAACCAATTATTTATTTTAGTTATTTGACATGGTGGAATGAAATGGGACAGGATTTCACCCGAACGCCTGTGTTAACATGTTAAATATAAAGATCCTAATTTACATACATTAGCAGGGTTGCCTTGTTTTCAGTTTTGGAGTCCCCAAATAAAGTGGCAGCTCTCTCAATGTATTTGCTCCCTATCTTTGCATGGAGAGTTTGTTTTGATGTAGAGGTGGACTCTCAGAGTAGAGTGCGGGATATCCCCTCCATTTTGGCCTCACTTTGAGAGCTTGTTTGAGTTTGGGAGATGATTTCAGAGAAAACCAGTGGCACCATCGTGTTTCTCGCGAACTTTTATATAAGAATCAATGGTCAAATCGCGAACCCCTCACACATGCAACATCTCCATTATTCGATTAAAATTATTTGCTCATTAATCGCCAACGGGAGATTTCGACAATTCCGCTCCACGCGAAGCAGCTATGGTGGCGCGCAGCGCCCAGGGGGTTTGGCTGCGTAGCAGCCAGGGGGCAGATCCGGCAGATACCCTAGTAAATCATATTTTCTTTTATTCTCTTACCCTTTTCCCTCTTTTGCTGTTAGGCTGGAGGAGGCAACAAGGAACTGCTGGCACAACTGTCTCAAACAGTACGGCTACATAAACCCCCCGAAGCACTACAACCGTGGGCGCTCGGAATTGGTCCCGATCACGAACGGCAAGGCGGTTGTCGTCGGTGGGGTTGTGAGCGAAATCTGCGACTGCGCACTCTCCACGGAGGTCATAACGCTCTTGTCGGTTTTCTTCCTTGACGTCAAGGAATTCGACAGACTGCGTCAGATGAACAACGAGTTTCTCCTGAAATTGTTCATCCGGCCCAAGGGTCTGCAGTACATGAGTTACTCAGAAGTTCAAGAGAGACTGAGGAAAAGTCTGAAGAAGAATAGTGTGGCGATGGATGTTCGCACAGCGTCACGGAGACACCGGGACTCGCCTTGTTAGGCCGAGCCAACGACGTAGAAACTGGTGGATTGTGGGTGGCCTACGGAAAAACGTGACACACATGGAGCGGCGATTTGATAGGCGAGCGGGAAGTGGAAATGACCAATGGAGATGTTGCAAGTGTGAGGGATTTGCGATTTGACCATTCACTCTTATGTAAAAGTTCGCGAGAGACACGATGGTGCCACTGGTTTTCTCTGAAATCATCTCCCAAGCTCAAAAAAAGCTCTCAAGTTGAGGCCAAAACGGAGAGGATATCTCACGCTATCCAGAGAGTCCACCTCTACATCAAGACAAACTCTCCATGCAAAGATAAAGAGCAAATACATTGACAGGGCTGCCACTTTATTTCGGAACTCTAAATCTGGAAACACGGCAACCCTGCTGATGTATTTGCTCCCTATCTTTGCATGGAGAGTTTGTTATGATGTAGAGGTGGACTCTCAGGGTAGGGCGGAATATCCCCTCCATTGCGCCCTCAACTTTGAGAGCTTTTTTGAGCTTGGGAGATGATTTCAGAGAAAACCAGTGGCACCATCGTGTTTCTCGCGAACTTTTACATAAGAATCAATAGTCAAATCGCAAATCCCTAACACATGCAACATCTCCATTGCTATCCTCGGCATTACCTCAAAT